TCAAGAATTCCAAAACTTTTGTTACTGTTAACCTTTGTAAGCGCTGTGTACCCAGTGCTGATACATGCTGATGATGGTGTCCACACTGCACCCTCTGAAGAAAAGACCAATCATTTATATTAAGGTGCAGAAAGAGGTTGTAGTGGTGTCTTTACTGTAATCAACAATGCCATAACGTGGGAATTGGGGAGAAGGCTGATTTAAATAATTGAGACAGTGGCATTAAAATTGGGTGCTCTGTTTTGACACAAAGTGAATGTGTCTCTTTTATACAGCAGTAAAGTATTAAATTTGTTTCCTTTTTAGCATTGTAAAATAAACAAAATGGAAGATGTGGGAAGAGTAAAAGAACTTAGTTACTGTACTTCTGCTTGTTATTTCATACCCTTCCAATTTATGATTCCTCAGACCTTCAGCTGGTTACGTCTGAGTAATGAGTGGATTTAGCAAATACACTTAAAACCATATCATTGTGAGTCTTTGAACTCTGATGTTTTCTCTTCTTTATAGCCTTTCAAATGTTAGGCAACCTTTACAGTGCCACTGTGTCTCTCATACATTGTCCTTGTATTCTGTGGAAGCAGCTCCAGTAAACTTCTGAATCTGCTCAAAAGTTACTTGAGTTACTGGGTAGGAGGCCCTGGGTGGTGCAGATTGTTAATGCTCTTGGCTGCTAACTGAGAAGTTGAAAGTTCAAGTCCACTCAAAGGCACATTGGAAGAAAAGAGTGGCCATCTACTTCCAGGAAAAAAAAAAAATCAGCCGTTGAAAATCCTCTGGAGCACAGTTCTGCTCTGACACACATTGGGTCACCTTGAGTGACAATTGAATGGACAGCGGTTGGTTGATTGGTAGTTACTGGGTGAGGAAGAAATTGTAGGGTTTTCTCTTTTAAAATTCCTTGGTGAAATCACTGGATGGACATAGTGTATTATGTAGTTTTCCTTTAGGGGAGGCTTAATCAAAAACCTGTTGCCAAAGCAAAGACTTTGAAATTGGTCTTGGAGTATGGGTTTGGTTTTTAAATGCTTTTACTCTGATCAGAAAATTGCCTTCCTGTAATATGTTCCTTCCTTTAGAGCATAGTTCTCAAGTAAAGCAAGTTTGCTTAAATGTGTAAAGTAAGTCAGTCAATGCATTATATGTACCAGGTTCTTTGTGATATAGCCTCTGAACTCTGAGTTCTTAGTTTTGGGACCAGTTTGAGGATTAACTGGCTGGAACACCTTCCTTCTGTTGTCTGCAGTATTTGCTCCCTTAATCTCTTTTATTTTATGCACATATGCCACCTTCTCAGGGAGGCCTTCCCTCAGCATCCTATTAAAATGGTATCCCTCTCATTTCCTTTCTCAGTTCCATGTTTTATTATTTTTTTTTCCATAGCACATACCGCTATCTGAAAGCCATTTCTTTTAATATTTTATTTATCTGTGTTACACCAATAGAATAAATTCTGTGAAGGCAGGGATTTTGTCTGTTATTCCTTCTGTACTCTCAGTGCCTTGAAGAGTACGGTGCCTGGCACATTATAGCTGCACAATGACAGTTGAATTAACAAAGTCAGGGAGAGTCTCTGTTGTTTGTAGGATGAGGGTTAGAGGTAGAACAAGTCAGATTTTAGATTTGAGGTGGTTAGCAGGAGATTTTATTATGATCGGGTGGAAAAAGCACATGTTTGAGAATCGGGCTGGATATGAATCTGGGCTTTCCCACTTCTTGACCTTAGAATTAAATAATCTTTGAAAGACTCAGTTTTATTCAATAGTGGAATGGGGAAAATAATACTTTCGTTATGGGGATTAAATAAGATATCAAGCATAAACCCCTTGTTGTCGAGTCAGTTTCAACTCATAGCTATCCTGTAGAACAGAGTAGAACTGCCCCACAAGATTTCCAAGGATATAAATCTTCACGGAAGTGGACTACCATATCTTTCTCCTGTGGAGTGGGCTGGTGGGTTCCAGCCATTGACCTTCTGGTTAGCAGCCGAGCACTTTAACCACTGCGCCACCAGGGTTCCCCATAATCAAACGTACCAAAAACAAACCAAACACGTTGCCGTTGATTCTGACTCATAGTGACCCTATAGGACAGAGTAGAACTACCCCATAGGCTGGTGGATTTGAGTGACCGATCTTTTGGTTAACAACCAAGAGTTCTTAACCACTGCACCACCAGGGCTCCATATCAAACACTGAGCTCTCTAAATGTTAGTTCTCTCTCTCTCTCTGTACCAGCATTGTTGTGTGCCATCAAGTTGATTCCGATTCATAGCGACACTGTATGACAGAGTAGAACTGCCCAATATGGTTTCACGGGAGTAGATTGCCAGGTCTTTTCTCCTGTGGAGTGGCTGGTGGGTTTGAACCATCGACCTTTCAGTTGGCTGAGCGCTTAACCATTGCACCACCAAGGCTTCTTTGTACCAGCGTTAAAAAAGCCTAAAAACATTCTGAATTTACCAGTTTGTTTCTGGAGCCTTTTGGGGCTATTGCCTTGATTGCTTTTGACAGATTTATTCTTTCAACCACCTGTGTTGCCAGCATAACAGTGATCTGTCCCTTTGACCGGGTGGGTGGATAGACACGGTCATCCCTCTGTAATCCTGTATCAGAGCAGCTTGTATGGGTTCTGGCTTTGAGTCCTAGGTTTAGATGAGTTCATAACTCCAACAGTTCAGATGACATCAGCCCTTCCTTAGAGTCATTTGAGTTTTACCAGCTCTCTTATCGAAATGTGATGGGAGCCACTCTGATAAGTTGATATTTGTGGTCCTTGCTCAGATTCAGACTAAGTTCTCAGCAACTTGGGAAACATCAGTGGGCTGGTGTGTAATAGTCACTAGTTTGTCTCCATGGACTTTTGCAATCCTTATAGATTACTGAAGTGTTAATTCCTCTATCAGTTTCCATTGATATTTCCTCTGCTTTGATGACAGGAACACTTCAGGAGTTTGTTAAGGCAGATTGGTTCATAAATTATAGGTTCTTTCAATCCTGTGTCAGGCAAGTCTGAACAGTACCTGGAAAGCTGATTAAGAGGCCGGTGGGCACAGTGAGCTTAATTTTAAATTAAGTGGATATTTAATGCATTGAGCAAGTACTCAGGTCCTTCATTCTTTCTGTTTCATCTGTGCTTGCTGTTTGAATCTGATGGGCTTGAAATCTATTTTTCCAAGAGATTTGGATATGACTTAATTGCTGAAGAGCGGTTTTTCGTGTGACTTTCTGCCGGTGAACTTAGCACCTAAGGGCACAAAATCATTAAATGAAACAAGGCAGACAGGAAGGAGTACCCTGAGCCAGGATGTCAGTTGCAATGTAGGGAGTGGACTTGAGAGTAAATGGGGAGGAGGGCATGGAGGCAGTTCACTCAATGTAGAGGATCCCCCTGGGTGGCTTGCCTTTGTCCAGCTGAACAGAGTAAAGCCTATGGCCTGCAACTGGTTGGAGATGATTGGGTTTAGGAGCCTGGTTATAGATTTTTTTTTGGAGTGTGTGTTATCTGCTTTTTGGGTGAGCCTTGATCTCAGACATACTTAGCCAGACCAAACTGGCAGATCTATGAGGATTTTAATATTGAGAAGCTTTTATTAATTAAGTTATGGGTGCTCGCTAAGGTATTGCTCTTGTATTCTAAACATTTAGTCATTGATAACCTTGAGTTTATGCTGTTTGAATTTTCATTCATTATCATGAGGTTTTTGTGGTGTGGTAGAACATAAAAGTATGAGAATTTTATCTTTTTTTTTTTCATGTATGAATGATCTTTTTGTACTGTAGTTTATATTGATTAGTTCGTGCTTGGTTAAATCCAGTTACCTACCTATTATGAGTAAGAAGCTTCCTCGTATCAACTTATAATGAAGTCACTTGGGTCTGCTTCTCTGACTGTTATGAGAATGAGATCAGCGTATACTTAAATTCAGGGTGTTTGGCAAAGGACCTGCCATTCTGGAGTTCATCATTTGGGACGATGATTTTTGTTTATCCTAGGTTAAGTCCTGTTCAGATCACTAAGTTAAACTCCTAAGAACATGCTATGAGTAGGATGTTGTAATGTCCACGTGATTGCTATCTTAATCAGAGGAGTGTTCTGAGTAAAACAATTAAATTGAACTCTGCAATAGTACTGTGGCTTCTTCTGAGTAAAAGGTTAAACACGGGGACAAGATACAGTTGGATCCACATTTCAAAGAAGTTAGACTTAGGTGAAGGAGGATATAAAATTTACTTTCATTCATCGCGTTCACGGGTATTTGAGGACTTGACAAGTGAAGCTCTTGTCCTCACCGGTCTGGATGAGAGACGAGCATTAAATAATGGTTTAATTTCAGTTACTTGTGCTGGGAAGGCTAAGAATAGCATGCAGTGAGACTCATATTCTAGGATCCTGGAAGTCTTCTCTAAAGTTTTTTTTGTGAGAGTTCATTTAGTGAAAACAACCAATAAAGGAATTCACCTGTTGACTTGGGGTATGGGGACAACCTTTTGTTGTTGGAGACAAGCTGTAGCCTTCCTCTCTGGGAGAGGGGTAGAGAGGAAGAGAGGTGTAATGGTCCTGTGCTTCCCCCCTTTGCCTTAAGTTCCCTAGCGAGTTAGTGGGGGAGTCCCAGGTTAAGCAGCTTTTTGTGAGTGTGGGGAATTATGTAAAAGTTTAACTGATCATATAGTACTTTGATAAGTGCTTTGGCAGCTACTTTAAATATCCTGTTGGTTGTTGAAAATCCTTTAGTGACAGTGAAACTTTTTGTTTTTATTTTTCAATCGGAAAATCTTTCTCCCCACTTGAAATCTTTAAATCTGGAATACAAGGAACACTGCAGTCTTAGATCCTCCTGCCTTCTCAAACTTGTGAAAAAAAACTGGGTATACAGTAATCTCAGACTTCTGATTGTGATCATAATTGCTGTGTTTAACATCTAGGACTTTATGTGGTTTTTATACTTTTGCTGACATTCTTAATATTTTTCTCATTTACTTCTTCTGTTTCTGTTTCAGTATCCTGGGTCATGAAACTTAATCCACAACAAGCTCCATTATATGTGAGTAAATCATGCGATTTTTTTTTTTTTTTGTAGTTATTGTTGCTGTTTACTTGTTATAATAAGTTCACAAACACTCTAATGTGACAGAGATTATCACAGAAGTTTTTAGCCATCTACACATGAATTTATTGGCATAGTACATTTTAAAAATTGAGTTTGATTTAGGAAATATTAAATGACTAATATACACAAGGAATTGCGCTAAGCACAGATAATTCCTGTAAGACAGTAAAGCAGTCTAGATGGAGAGATAAGAAGCACATATGAAACAATTAAATTGCCCTCTGTAATAGTACTGTGGCTTCTTATTTTTACCTGTAATACATTTCTGTTAAAGTAATCTGAGAATCTTCCCACTAGTATTGTGAGTTACCCTGTCTTGCAACTAGGTGGCACTCTGTCATTGGCAAGGTGCAGTATTGACTTTATTTACTTTAGGACTCTGGGTGAAAGCTTTTATAAAGCAGCTCCTAATGTGAGGGGATTCTAAGATGAAATGAATAAATGAATGGATCAGGCCTGGAAAAGGTAAACTCTAGGTAGCTTTTCAAAAAATTGTTGTAAGAATGAATTTGCTGAATTGGAGTGGTGGAAAGTGGGCCTGCCTGTTTGATGAGGAACCAGCTCAGAAGTATGGACAGTTAGAGCTGTGAGAGGCCAGGGGATATTGGGTTGGTGTGGTCTGGAGTGGGTGAGAAAAGTCATTTGATGTGTGTGATAGGACTTGAGCCAGACCTTGAAGAATGAGGCGCATAATTTAGTTAGGTGAAAAGTCTTCACAATTTACTCAAGACAGAAGGCAGATGGTGGGGAGAAGGATGGCAGTGAACATAGTGTTCCATGGGTGGTTAAAGTGTGGGCAGTAGAAAGCCTGGCCCAGGTGAATTTGTTTTGGGTAATAGTGGGAGATATGTCTAGAAAGGTAGTTGAAGCCCAGTTGTAAAGGAAGAGAAGGTGTGGGGATTTTATTTTGTGACCACTTGGTAGGCATTGAAGGTATATGTGTCTGTTTACATGTGTGTGTGTTTTTTTACTCTGCTATTTATTTTAATGAATTTATTACCATGCTGTGTTAATTGTTTTATACCTTTCCAACATAGAACATTCATATGGTTACTCTTCTGTATAGATGATTTTTGTTAAATGTAATATATAAAGAAAAAAATATACATGTGTTCTTAAAATTTGAAGGTATTTTATTTACTTATTTTCTTTCCAGACTACTTGAATATAATTTTTTATGTTCATCAGTGGATTTGTATGTAAACTGATTACCTTGTTTTAAACAGCTTTATTGAGATGTAGGAGTCCTTGGGTGGTGCAAACGGTTAAGCACTGGACTGCTAGCCTTAAGGTTGGTCGTTTGAACTCATCCAGAGGTGCTTTAGGATAAGACCTGGCAATCTGCTACCAAAAGGTTACAGCCTTGAAAACCCAATGGAACAATTCTGCTCTGCACCCATGGGGTCACCATGAATCAGAATTGACTCGCGGTATCTAACAACAACAGTTATTGAAATATAATTCACATACCGTAAAAGTCACCCTTTAAAGTGGACTGCCAGAGGACAAACAAATCACTCTTAGAAGAAACACAGCAGAGTGTTCCTTAGAAGCGAGGATGGCGAGACTTCGGCTCGCTTACTTTGAACACGTCATCAAGAAAGACCATTAGCTAGAAAGGGACATCATGGTTGGTAAAGCTGAGGGTCAGCGAAAATGAAGGAAACCCTCAATGAAGTGAAACAATGGACCCAAACAAACCAACAGTCATGAAGATGGCGCAGGACTGGGCAACGTTTTATTCTGTTGATATATAAGGACACTATGAATCAAAGGCGATTTGATGGTAACTAAGAAAAACAACAAAGTGGGTATAAAGTGATATCTCATTGTGGTTTTGATTTGTATTTTCCTAATGGCTAATGATGTTAAGCATCTTTTCATGTGCTTATTGTCCATTTGTGTATCCTTGGAGAAATGTCTGTTCAGACCCTTTGCTCATTTTTTAATTGTGTTATTTTTCTTCTTACTGAATTTTAAGAATTCTTTATATATTCTGGATAAAAGCCCCTTGTCAGATAAATGATTTGCAGATTTTTCTCCCATCCTATGGGTTGTCTTTTCACTTTCTTGATAATGTCCATTGAAGCACGAACATTTTTAATTTTGATCAAGTCCAGTTTTATCTACTTTTTCTTTTGTCACTGTACTTTCGTATCATATCTTAGAAGGCTTTGCATAACCCAAGGTCATGAAGATTTACTCCTTTGTTTTCTTGTAACAAGTTTATAGTTTTAGCTCTTACGTTTAGGTCGGTGATCCAATTAATTTTTGTGTGTGGTGTGAGGAACGGGTCCAGTTTCATTCTTTTGCATGTGAAAAATCCAGTTGTCCTAGCATCATTTGTTGAAAAGACTTTTCATTCCCCCATTGAATTATGTTGGCACGCTTGTTGAAAATCATTTGACCATAAATGTGAGGATTTATTTCTGGACACTCAGTTCTGTTCCATTCATTTAGGACTTCTTTAAAAATGTTTTGTAGCTTTCAGTGTACAAGTCTTGTACTTCTTTTATTAAATTTATTCCTAAATATTTTATTCTTTTTGATGCAACCTTGCTGAACTTTATTATTAATATTATTGGTTTTTAGTGAATTGCTTAAGATTTTCCATATACAAAATCATGTCATCTCTGAACAGAGATAGTTTCCTTCCTTTCTAATCTGGATGCCTTCTCACCTAATTGCCCTGCCTACCCATTGCCGTCGAGTCGATTCTGACTCGCAGAGACCCTATAAGACAGAGTAGAACTGCTCCATAGGGTTTCCAAGGAGTGGCTGGTGGAATTGAACTCATGACCTTTTCTTTAGCAGCCATGCTCTTAACCACTGCACCACCATATTGAATAGAAGTGGCAAGAGTGAACTTCCTTCTCTTGTTCCTGATCTTAAAGGAAAAGCATTTAGTCTTTTACCATTACATATGATGTTAGCTGTGGGTTTTTCATAGATGCCCTTTATCAGGTTGAGGAATTTCCCTTTTATTCCTAGTTTGTTGAGTGTTTTTATCATGAAAAGGTGTTTAATTGTGTTGATTGCTTTTTGTGCATCTATTGAGATGATAATGGCTATTTGTTCTTTATTCTATTGATATGGTGTATTATACTAATTGACTTTGGGATGTTAAATCAACCTTGCATTCCTGGCATAAATCCTATGTGGTCATGGTGTGTATAATCCTTTTTGTATATTGATAGATTAGGTTTGCTAGTATTTTCTTAAGGATTTTTGAGTCTGTATTCATAAGAGATATTAGTCTGAAGTTTTCTTGTGATGTCTTTGTCTGGTTTTGACCATTGAAGATTTTTAATTAGGAGATCTGATATAACTAAAGTAGTTATGGTAGACAGAACAATGCCCCCTCCCCCAATTATCCACCTCCTAATCCCCAGAATCTGTGAATATGCTGCCTTACATGACCAGTGGGACTTTGCAGGTATAATTAATCTAAGGATTTTGAGATGAGGAGATTATTCTGAATTACCTGGCTGGGCCCAGTGTAATCCCAAGGATCCTTATAAGTGAGAGAGGGAGGCAAGGGTCAGAGTCAGAGAGAGATTTGAAGATGGTACGCTGATAGCTTTGAAGATGGAGGAGGGCCATGTGCCAAGGAATGTAGCCTCTAGAAGCTGGAAAAGGCAAAGGAATGGATGCTCCCGTAGAGCCTCCAGAAGGAATGCAGTGCTGCTGACACGTTTATTTTAGCCCAGAGAGGCCCATTTTGGACTTCTTATCCCTCAGATTGTAAAATAATAGATTTCTTGTTGTTTTAAGCCACTAAGTTTGTGGTAATTTGTTAACAGCAGCAATAGAAAACTCATACAGTTATAGTTTGGGAAAACTAATTGTTGATAGCGTGAAGGATAATTTGGAAGGAGAGGCTAGAGGCATTGAGGTCAGTTAGAAACGTTCTGATTTTTCCATCATGGAGTCTGAGAATTTTAGAGCTAATAAAGACCTCAGATACTGTCTGCTTCAACCCCTCCTTTTTAGAGATGAGGTCTGAAGATGTGGTAAGATGATACAGCTAATTAGTGATAAAATTGTGACTTGAACCTTTTGTTTTCTGGTCTTAGTCATAGAAACCACTGTATACTTTGTTAAGCTTTAAAAAAAGTTTTGTTCTGTTAGGGAAACAAAGCTCTCTGGAAATCAGCTCCGGGAAATATTCTTAATAAAGTAAGTGGCTTTGTACAAGATTATGTGCTGAGTGGATTGGGCAGACTCTACTGAAGAATACTTTAAACTTCAGATTTCAGCTTATGTCTATCAGCAGAATGCTTAATGGGGCAATTGTGTTACCCTTTTTTGAAAAAGGAGAGTGAAAATGTACTTACTCCATTCTCAGTGAACTAAGTCAAGTCACAGGGATTTATGTTTTGGTGTAGATAAGTAACAGTGGCACGACAATCCATTGGAGGGTCCTCTGCATCTAGAGAAAGAATAAGCAAAAGCATAGAAAGAGTGTGTTAATATTTTTCTTTTAGTTCATATTTCGGATTTGCTAGGGACAAATATCAGAAGAGCAAAAACTGCTAGCAAATAAAGGAAGACAGATCCTGAGAAAAGTTTTTTTTTTTTTTTTTTGATTTTGTTGTCTTTGAGAATATACACAGCAAAATATACACCAATTTAACTGTTTCTACATGTGCAATTCAGTGACACTGATTACATTCTTAGAGTTGTGCATGCAACCATTCTCATTCCCCTTTTCTGAGTTCTTCCTCACCCATTATCATAAACTCACTGCTTCCTGCGATTTCCTGTCTAATCTTTCAAGTTGCTGTTGTCCGTTTGACCCCGTATAAATAGTTCTTAAAAGAGTAAAATGCTCAAGGCAGGTATTTTTTTACTAGTTGAGCTAAAGTATTTGGTTTTAAGAAGACTTTAGGGGATATATTTTTATTTTATTGTTGTAGTTTAAGTGAAAGTTT